TCTCTCTCTCTCTCTCTCTCTCTCCCTCTCTCTCTCTCTCTCTCTCTCTCTCTCTCTCTCTCTCTCTCTCACTCTTGTAAAATGAGTCTAATGATGCTTGTACTACCAGAAAGTTCCTTGTACACTGTAGAAATAACTGTTCTTACAACACAGAACACAGAGAAATTGAGTGGGTTGAGTATGAGTACCTATGAGACTTGGCAAGTTATGGCTTATGGTGGGAATACAATAATGAAAGGTCATCTGTCATTCAAAAGGGACAGATTAGGTAAAATGATGGTGAAGGGAGAAGATGTACTCTTATGTGGAAAGCCATGAGATAAAGTGGAGAAGCGGCAGATGTGAAGATCAAAGGAGGAAGCAACAGGAGGGATATCGTGGTGGGATTAAACTACAGATCACCTGGCCAGGTGGAAGACACACATGATACAATACCACAAAGCTGGGATAAGTGCACCCTGAAGGGGTTCTTGCCTTGATCCCACCCTTTGAACAGCTTCCAATGCACCAATGCAAAAGGGCTTTGAGGACCCTCTTCTCGCTATCTCCTGGTGCTTTGGACCCCAGCTCTTCTCACTTCTCCACAGTGAGCCCAGCTCAATCTTCACCCGCAACTGGGGCCCTTGTCCTCACATCTGTGTGATACAGCTAGAAGCTTCAGAGGGTAAGCCGGATCTTGGGGAAATTTCTCCCCTTCTCTTAAAAATGATGGATTGGACTGGATACTCACTATCTACCTTCAAATCTCATTCCCAAGGCCACTACCCCAAACCAATGGGTCCTCTCGGGGCTGATAGTCTTTCCTTCCTCCAACATGAAAGACCCTCAAAGCCCCCTCACCTGGGTCTCAGTCAGGACTTCGATGTCATATGTCAGAAAGAACTCCTTGGGCCTGAGGGCAATCTGCTCTGGCTGGGAGTCCAAGGACTGTGAAGAAGAAGGTACCAGAATCATCCCTGACCCTCTGGTCAAACCTCCCCTACCTCCCATTGGGTCTCAGCCCTGCAGGGCTGCATGGGCTCCAACCACATCCCCTTCTTCAGTCATACTCTGGCCTCATTCTTGTCCGTTATTACAAACAGAAGTAGAACTATCAGGGCCGACCCAGGGTCCAGAGCTCCAGGGTTCTGGACAGGAAAACCTGCCCTGAGAAATAGAGTGCTCAGGATTTATCAAGCAGGGATTCTGGGGCTCTGCAGTCATGTGCCCTCTCAACTCTCACCCCTGCTATCCAACACATCTTCCCCTTAGCTGCCTAAAAATGGCCATGATAATGATAATAACGGCATTTACACAGCCCTTCAAGGTGCACCAGGCACTTGACCAAGCTTCCCTCATTTGAGCCAGGGACCTTTGCTTCATCCACATTCTCCTTACCCTCTCTCAGCTTCTCAGCCACCTTCTCATCCCAGAGATTTCCCCTCCCTTGGTTCTGTGGCATTGTTCTCTCTTAGTTATGCTCCCACTTCCTGGCTACTGCTCCTCTGTCTACTCTGAAGGATCATTCTTCTCCTCTGGTCTAAATGTGGGCACCCCCCAAGGCTCATGGAGGGGCTTCTTCTCTTCTCTCCCCACTCCCTCGCTCTCTTGGGGATCTCATCAGCACCCAGGGGTCTACTGAGTCTATTCAGATGACGCCCAAATTCCTGCTTGCGGTCCTGGTGTGCCAACTGAGCTCCAGTGCTGCTGGACAGCTCCCCTGGCCGTCTCACCAGCATTCGGGGATTGCCTCCTTTCTAGATTTCTATCCCCTGTGCTTAGCACAGTGCTTGGTGCTAAACAAGCCTTTACTAAGCATTCATTCATTCTTCCCAAACTCAACAACTGTAAAATGCGCCCTGCCCACAGACTCGTCCCTCTTCCTAACCCATCACTATTGAGGGGGGCTCTTCCATATCCCTCCTTCCTGTACCAGTCCATTATCAAGCCTTGCCGTTCTCCACAATATCTTTCTCTTCCATCACCTCCTCTCTACTCATGTGGACTCCACCCTGATTCAGGACATGGCTGCTTCTACCTTGGACCTCCTAATGACTCTCCCTGCCTCCAGTCTCTCCCCTCTCCAGTCCCTTCTTTATAGAGCTACCAAAGTGATCTTCCAAAAATGCAGATCTGACCCTGCCACTCCCCTACTCAGAAGTCTTCAGTGAGGCCCTAATGCCTCAAGGATAAAATAACAAATCTTCAGCTGGGCATTTGAAGTCTAGGCTCCCCCTGACTTCTCCAGTCTTTCATGCACTATCCAATTTAGCCAAACTGCCCACCAGCTATTTCCCAGATAGGGGGCAGCTAGGTGGTACTGCAGTGAATAGAGCACCGGGCCTGGAGACAGGAGTTTAAATATGGCCTCAGACACTTACCAGCTGTGTGACCCTGGACAAGTCACTTCACCCTGTTTGCCTCAGTTTCCTCATCTGTCAAATGAGTTGCAGAAGGAAATGGCAAACCACTCCAGGATCTCTGCCAAGAAAACCTGAGATGGGGTCACGTAGAGTAGGACACAATTGAACAACTGAACAAGGAGTGAGCTGTTATTACCCATCAGGGTTTGCACAGTGCTTTACATGGATCCTCAGAAGAACCCCATGTACTTGAGACATGTTAGCTGTCATTAGGGGCTGGCAGACTTCTCAGTGAGGTCTGAGGAAGCCATTGCTGACAGGAAAGGCTACCCTGAGGAAGGCAAGTGGGGCCATGTAGCTAAACAGCAGACATTCACCAGGTGCTGGGGATGCCCTTGAGGAACTTACATTCTACTGAGTTTCCTCACCAGTAAAACACTTGCACTCCCTGTCTCTCATAAACTTAGCATCTTCTCTGGCAACCTGCCCATTGTTTTGCACTCAGTAGGCGCTTAACATTTGTTGAATTGACTGTGGGTGATCACAAAGTGAATGAGAGGATGGGCTAAGAAGAGGTACTCAGGAGGGGAAGGAGGCCCAAGGGCAAAGGGAGAAGCAGGGCTCTTTGGAGAAGGCACTCCTGGGGAGGCTGCCTCTTCTGGGGAATTGCCAGGCCCCTGGGAGGGAGGGAGGAAGGGAGGGAGCAGATGGGGGATAAGGAACTTGCCATCTCTTCTCCAGCCCTGGGGTCTGAAGGAACCAAGGACAATGCTGTTGCCAGTATCCAAGGGTGCAACAGGCCAAGGGAGGCCTGGAAGGTGGCAGGAGACAGAAGGGAGACCTATGAGGCCCCTCTCCAGGAACCCAAGGGCTTGTGGGTTTGTGGGTCTGTGCATGTCCATGAGGGGCTAGGTCATTCACCTGTGATGCCCGTGGTTCTCAGGCCAGTCTTAAATTCGAATCTTGCCCCATTCCTAGGGTCTGAAGCTCCACCTTTATCCATCGGTAGATGACGCCGATGGTGGGGAGAGGCACCCATCATCACAGAGCAGCAGAGACTTCTAGAGTCTCTGGAATGCGGGCACCTCCCCACCCTCCTCAGATGTCCAAACCAGACTCCAGCCCCTGCCCTCCTCCAAGCATGTCAGGGGCCGGGGGCTGGAGAAAGCCCAAGCCAAGTAGAGAGAAGACTTCTCAGAGGATGACATGCCCATTGATCAAAAGCCTCAGGGCTTCAGAAGGTGAGAGGACCCTGACTAGGGACAGTCTGTGGGCTCAGGTGAGGGAGGACTGAGGTGACCTTCCCAGGCGAGGACTGGATGCTTCTTTTGAATGAGAGCACTTTAAAGCCCCTTCCCCGCTTTTATTGTTATTCAGTCGTGTCTAACTCTTCACGACCCCATTTGGGGTTTTCTTGGCAAAGATCCTGGAGTGGTTGGCCATTTCCTTCTCCAGCTCATTTTACAGACGAGGAAACTGAGGCAAACACAGTAAAGTGACTTGTGCAGGGTCACACAGCTAGTCAGTGTCTGAAGTGAGATTTAAATTCAGATCTTCCTGACTCCAGGTCTGGTGCTGTGTGCACTGTGGTGCCCCCTAACTACCTCCTCGTTTCTCCTCGGCCCAGAGAGTCTGGATTTGAACTCAGGTCCTGTGACCAGATTAGAAGCCAGGCTAAGCCTCTGTCTGCTGAATCTAGACCTGTCTCCAGTCCTACAAAGAGAAGCATCCTGGAGACATCTGGAGTCCTGAGAATCATTCTAGCCAAGAGGCACAGCAGAGAGAGAGAGAGCACAGGGCTTAGAGACAGAAGACCCCAAGTTTCAATCTGGCCTCCAACACTTACTCACTGCATGGTCATAACCTCTCTGGGCCTCAGTTTCCCCATCCTTAAAATGAGAATAATAAAGGATCATATTATATATGTAATATTATATATTATATATATAAAATAATGATTCTTACTATTAGGTATGACGCTTTGAGAACTTATAAATGCTAGCTATCATAATTATGAGTTCATATTCTATTTCAGGCCTGAGCTGCCTTACAGATGACATCATGGTTTCTTGGGTGTCTTACTGAGTACTCAGGATCCTCTGGGCATCTCTGAATGTGGGTGACCATCAAGGCCTGCCCCAGGGCCCTGTAGACAGTTGCATGCCTTTCCTCTCCCCAACCCCCTGCTGGAGGGTAAGCCCAGTGGGCCTGGGTGGGGTCTGGGAGGGGAGGAGACACCCACCTTGCTGAGTTTGGGTCTGTCATAAGGAAGGTGTCTGTCCATCGTGCACATCACAATTCTGTCGGAGAAGCCCTCCTGTCTCAGGGTCTCTGCACACACCAAGCCGGCCGCCCCTACCAGAGGAAGACTGAGCCTTGAATCACTGAGCAAATCAGACTGCCTTCTCCCCCTCCCCTCCCCCGGGGCCATGGGCCACCCATCACCAGTCACACTCAGAGGCCCGGCAGAGCACCCGTGCACGGCCCATGGGGGCGAGGCGGACCAAGGCCTGGGAGCCCCAGAGACAGAAGAGGGCTGAGAACGAGGACAGCGAAAGAGGGATGAACAGATCTGAGGCCAGACTTAGGCTCCAGGACGAAGCTGCTCTTTGTGGGGGTGGGAGAGAGCTGAGGATCTCAGTCACAGAGCTCCAAACCAAATACTGTGGGAGGGTCTTTGGGGTTATCACCTCTCTGAACCATCTCAGGCCTGGCCCTGGGCCAGGATCAGGGGTGGCCAATGCTCTCAAAGATGAAATTGGAGACTTTCTTCAACACTGAGCCAAGCCTGAGCCTGACCCAAGCCGAGGCTGCACCCTGATCCCAGGCCTAGCCTGAGCCCCACCCCCCACGTGCCCATGCAGCCACCCAGGCCCGTGCCCAAAGCCCCCAAGTGCTCACCAGCTCCCACAATCAGGATGTTGGTACTTCCCACGTGGTAATTGCTGAGGGAGATGCACTTGGCCATCACCTTCGTCCTCCTCTGTGTCTGCAGGGCCTGTGGGACCCAAAGGTGATGAAGGCTCCCTCCCACCCAGGACACCCCAGAGCCTGGCAGGGGCCAGCCCTGGGGGCCAAGAGGAAGGATCCAAGGAGAGAGGCCTGTGGGAAGCACTCTGGGGCACTGTCCAAAGTGACCCAGCCCCCTCCCCACAGAGAGCTCTCACCAGCATCCATCCAAGCTTCTGCAGAGAACCTACTGTGTGCAGGCACTGGGCTACAGACTGGGGATAGAGGGGCCAAAAACCCCGACAACACAAAGCACCCAGAGTACCAATGGAACCCCTGTGCCCCACCGAGCAGCGCCCCCTTCCAGGGCGAGTCTGAGCCTTGGGATCCCTAAGGATTCTTATACACTCATGCACACACGCTCATGCACAGACACATACACACATGCACTCATGCAAACATGTGCGCACACACGCATGTGCATGCACACATACACACTCACGCACAGACATGCACATGCAGACATATATACATATGCACACACACACACACCCCTCATCCCACCCCACCTCTTCCCACAGAGACCAAGAGACACAAACACAGAAGAAAACACAGATCCTGACAGACACCCCCTCCCTTTCCCGGAAATCCTCCCTGAAAGGGGTGTGGATTAGGCATTTCCAGCCGCCAAGCCTTTGATCTAGCCCAGGCCTTTGTTAAGGAGGAACGAGGCACTTAGCTGATAATGGCCCAGGGAGAGAGGGGGAAGCAATGGGAGGATGATGGGAGGGGGGCGAGGAAGGGGTGAGGGGAAGGTTGAGGTCCCCGGGGAGAGCAGGCTCAGTCTTCCCAGAACCCCAAGGGGAACCAGGGCCTGGGAGACAGCAGCCAGAGAGTGAATCACCGTGGGAGACCTAGCTCCGGCCTGTCCCCCTGGGGGGAGGAGAGGTTCCACAGGGCACAGGCACCTCGAGCTCTAGAGCTGGGGGCCCTCGGAGGCCCTGGGAAGGGAAGGGCCGTCCCAGGGTCACAGAGGCAGGATGTCAGCCAACCTTCTCCTGAGCCCAGGCCCAATGCCCAGCTAGGAAGCCTCTGCAGAGGCCAGACCTTGGGCCTTGGCCTCGGGGAGTCTCCTCATCACCCCCCACCCCCAGCCTGCAGCAGGGCTGGAAAGGTCAGCGTCCTTGGCCCGGTGGGGGGAGAGGGAGGCAGGGAAGGAAGACCGGCCTTTTTGTCCTGGCTTCCCACAGAGAATCCCTGTGTCTCCCTGGAGGTGGGAAGGGGCTGGCTCACTCTTTTCACTCTTTATCTGGCTTAGAGGTGAGAGCTCTGGGTTGCAAGGTCTGATAAGCGGAAATATAATAAGACAAGCATCTGCAAAGTGCCCTAAACACATTAGCTCACTTGGTCGCCCAGGACATCCGAGAGGGAGGTGCTTTTCTCATCCCCACTTCACAAAGGAGGAACCTGCCCACCCTTAGCCTCAGAGGCAGGATTTGATCTCAGGTCTTGCAGAGCCCACTGGTCTCTAGAGATGGGAGCTGCTATGATCATTTCCTGTGTGTGGCCAGTGGTTGCTTCCCTTCTTCCTCGGCCTTGCTGACAGAGACCAGATCTGTCTGGTCAGGAGGCCTGGGGAAGGGGCAGCTGTCCAGGGACCCAGGCACCCCCAGGGGCCTCAGCCCAGAGCCCATGCTTCAAGCACTCCCACACTAAGGCCCAGAAGGGAAAGGGCAGTCCAAGGTCACCTGGCCCAGTAAGAACCAGAGGCAAGATTTGGACCCGGCTCCACTTGGTTCCAGATCCAGCAAGAAACAACCTTTCCCCAATGGGCACCAAGACCCTGGGCTAGTTCAAGATCTTCCCAAAGTCACAAAGGAAGTATTAGAGATGGGACAAGAACCCAGCTCTCACACAGAATGTTCTCCCCCACTCTGGAGTCATGGGTAGAGTTCTAGATCTGAAATCTGGAAGACCTAGGTTTGAATCCTGACTGAGACCCAGCCTGGGTGGCTCTAGGCAAGCCAATTCACCGCTCCGCTCCTCAGTTTCCTCATCTGTAAGATGGAGGCAATGATGGCACCATCTCCCAGGCTTGCTAAGAATATCTCTTGGCAGCCCACCTGGGGAGCCCTCCACATCAGCTCTGATGATTCATATTGTTATTATTGGGCACCGTTTAGGGCACAGAGAAGGAGCTCAGCTGCTGGGGTAGGGGGAGACGAGAGAAAACACCTAGTGGAGGCAGAAGGGACTAATATCCCCACTGTACAGGACACAGAGAAGGAAGAAGACTGAAAAGTGAAGGAAAAAAAGTCAAAACGGGCTGATGTGCAAGGATGATGACCAAGGCTGGCCCCAGAGATAAAGGGAGAAAACACACCTCCCTCCCTTCTTCGAAGGGCCAGGGCCTATGGGTGCAGAGCATCGCGGACCCAGCCAGCTCAGCCCCGGCTTTGTTGCTGGGGGTATCTCTCACTGGCAAGGGGGGCTTCAGAAGTGAAGGTAAAAGAAGGAACCAACTTCGTCAAGGAAAATGGTGATGCGATCAAATGAGATTGACCAAGAGTGCTTGTAAATGCCCGGTTGGGTCAGAAGCCAGCTCTCTGGACAGAGGCTGGGGCGCATCCCGGCATCTCAGGGGAAGGAACCTCAGAAGGCCTGAGGCCAGCAAGCAGAGATGCTCCCGCACTGCCGCCCGCCTCAGCCTCCGCAGCCTGACATTAGGCCTCTGCTTGGAGCCCTCCAGTGCTGGGGAGCTCACTCACTGCTGAGGATGCCCTTTTCACTCAGGCACAAGCCTATGATTAGGGGAGTTCTCCCTGACATTGAGCTTAAATCTGCCTCTTTGTAGCTCCCTCCTGCCATGGCCCCTGGAAAGGAAGCATCTCAAAGAAGGTCCCAGCCCCCAGAGCCCCCAGCCCCAGGGCAGAGCCCAGCCGCTCACACACACAGCCACTTACCTGTTTGCTGGCTCGAATGTACACCTTCTCCTTCTCAATCTTCACCTGGGACAGTCAAAGGAGTGGGGAAAATGGGTCACCTCACACCCTAAATACTGGAACCAACCCAGGGACGGGGGGCCCCAAGGCAGCCAGCCCCTCCCTGGGCAGAGAGCCTGGGCCTGGCTGAAATCTTCTCTGGCACTCCTATCTGCCAGTGGTCCTCCCTCCCCACCCTCCTCACCATGGGCCCCCCTCCCCACCGTCCTTGCCATGGTCCTCCCTCCACACCATCCTTAGCATGGTTCTCCCTCCCCCCCCCCCCCCCAGGGGCCTTTCCACTCTGGGCCTCCCATCTCCCCACCATGGACCTCTCTCCCTCCCATGGGCCTTGCTCCCCAACTCCGGTCTCACCTGGAATTTGGGCAGGCTGTCTAGGCCTGGGAAGTCTTCAATGTCTCCAGTGGCAATATTGAAACAGGCACCATGCCAGGGGCATCGGACCCTGCCCCTGGAGAGGACCCCTGGAAGGAGAGAGCCCTCGCTGGAGGCTGGAGAGCCCTGGGCTTTGGCCACCACAGTAAGGGCGTAAGGAGGGAGGCTCAGGAGCCATGGGGCCCAAGGCAGTAGGAAGGACTCTCTCAGAGTGGCCAACCAGGCCAGGGCCTCAGGGGCAGACGCCAGCCCTTCCAGAGCTGCCTTACTCCCAGGAGGAAGGGAAAGAAATGCTCCTACCTCTTTCTCTATGGGCTGGTCAAGGTCCTGGGGCCACAGACCCCACATATCTCTCTGGGCTTTCTAAGACTCCACCTCCACCTAACCCCTACCTCCCCTTATTGTCCCGCAGGACCCCCCCAGCCCCTCCCAGACCTACAACCCCCGAGATCCCCCAGCTCATCAGGGGAAGAAGGACGTGAAGCCTGCTCTTTGGAGACTGATCAAAACCTTTCTGCACCTTGGGCCTTCTCCTTAATCTCCTGAGAGGAAAATGGCGCCCATACCGTCTCGTCCTGGGACCAAGGCCCCCAGAGCCACACCCTGCTCCAGACAGAGGTCCCTAATAAGAGCCTCCCCCCAAGAGAAGCCCCTAGAAGCCCCCTCCCCAGAGATGGGTCCCCAGGATCCCCCTTCCCACACAGGGGTCTGGCCCACCTTTCACCAGGGGGGCTCCGTAGTGTGGACACTTGTGGCCCAAGGCATGGAACTCCCCGTTCTCCTTCACCAAGAGGGCCTTGCCCCAGCCCAGCTCTACCTCCCGCATCCTAGAGAAGGAGAGGAGTCTCAGCGCCTCACAGCGGGTCTCAGCAGCCCAGGGCCAAGGCCACCGGCTCGGCCCAGCATTCCCGCCAACCTGGAGAAGTCCCAAGTCTGAAGGAGAGACCTGGGGCCCTAGGAAGGGTGGGCCTCTCAGCCCTCAGGAAATAGGGACCAAGGACCAGGTGAGAAGAGCCGTGCCAGTGAATGGCCCCGTGTTCATGTTACATGAGAAGGCTGAGCCTGGAGAAGGGAAGGTGCATGGGCCCACAGGGCTCTCCTCCAGTATCTAAAGGGTCCTCGAGTGCAAGAGGGACCAGCCTTGTCCTGCCTGGCCCAAAGGGACAGCCCCAGGAGCAATGAAGGGGCAAGGGTGAGGGGGTGGGGACAGGGGGAGTAAAGAGAAGGATGGCAGGGAGAGCTCCCTAGCAAAGAGGACGGGGCAGCCCCGGGAGATGGGGGTACAGAGGTCAGAGGACGCGGCCAGGGGCCAGCGAGGGATTGTCGTGCAGGTGGACTGAACTAGATGTCTCTGGGGGCTCCCGTCTGAGGACCCCGAGGCTCTGACGCTGGCAGCGCCCCTTCCCTCCTGCCCTCCTTCCACAACTCTGCGGTCTGGACACAGGGCACGCAGGGCTCCCCGGCAGGCGCCTGGATCCCAGGGGAACCCGCCCAGCACCTACTGGCCATTCTCCAGGTCCTTGACGTGGCACACGGCAGCCTCCACTCGGTCGTGAGGGCTGGGGTAGGGGTGCAGGGTGGACGGCCGCTCCTCCGGGTGGTAGTGCCGGGCCCGGCCGTTGGCTTTGTAGGCCAGGGGGCTGGCTTGGCCGTTGGGAGAGGCATCCTCTTTGGTTCTTTCTTTCTCTGGGAGCACCACCTCAATTTTGAGCTCCACTGTGGACACAACAGAGAGCTAATGAGACCAGGGGCCAACTGCTCCTAGACCCCCGGTTCCAGACGGCCAGTGTGGGAACAGCCCACATCCTGCCTCGCACCCGTAACTTCCGAATAGACAGCCAGGCCGGGGAGGGACCCTGGGTTCCAGCCTCTCCCCGTGCAAGTGCACCCCCTCCCCTGGCACAGGACCCCCAACAGCCTGTGCCGCTGCCGCCTCCTCCATGAAGACTTCACACCTTCTCGTGGTCAAATTCACGTCATCACCAGCGTCCAGATCTACATTTAGAGTAAGATGCAGGCTCCCCGGGGGCAGGAGCTGGTCTATTTTTGTCTGTGAAACCCCTGTATGTAGCACAATATTGGCCACAGTGGGTGCTAAAAATGCTTGTTGACTAATGGTAAGAACGCCCAGTTTTTCTGAGAAAAGACAATGGTGCGGCACGGTGGCACAGTGCATACGGCCCCAGCCCTGGAGTCAGGAGGGCCTGAGTTCAAATCTGGCCGCGTGACCCTGGGCAAGTCACTTAACCCCAATCGCTTCCAAAAACAAAAAAAAAGGCCTAACAAGGAATTTGTTGATTGGTGGCATGATGGACAGACTCCTGTGCTTGGAGTCAGGAATGCCTGAGTTCAAATCTTGCCCCAGATACTCCCCAGCTGTGTGATCCTGGACAAAGTATTTCTCCTCTCCCAGCCTCAGTTTGCCCATCTGGAAAATAAAGATCCCAGGGGCAGCTAGGAGGCACAGTGGATACAGCACCAGCCCTGGAGTCAGGAGGACCTGAGTTCAAATTCAGCCTCAGACCAAACACTTGACCCTTACTAGCTGTGTGACCCTGGGCAAGTCACTTAACCCCATTGCTTACCCCCCCAAAAAGAAAGAAAGAAAGAGAGAGAGAGAGAGAGAAAGAAAGAAATTAAGGATCCTACCTACCCAGAGCACCGATCTCTTTTGCAGCATTCAGGGCGATAATAAGGGAAGCCTCACAGGGAGCCACCCATGTTAGCTATGGTCTTACTGAGTCACCACGTGCCTGGAAATCACAGAGCCTCTACTCTTCACCCAAGTGAAGGTAGCGGCAGAGGGCCAGGTGGGCGTGAATGGCTGCCACACCCCAGCTCAGACGGGCTGGTCCCCCGAGAGGGCCGGACGCCCGATGGACAGACCATGGGCTCCCAGGATCCTCCCAATGCTACGAGGCCCTGAGCGCTTGGAAGGAGGCCCCTCGCTGACTCAGCAATCTCCCAGGACAGGTTCTACCTAAGGGAACTCCGGAATGGCTGAGGTCTGGGATGGACTGAAGAGTCTGAGGGAGGGTGGTTGACGCGAACTCTGACCCTAAGACGGCAGACTGTCCTTCCCAGGGGCCCTTTCAAAGGAGGACAGGAAGTATTTCTGTCTCTACATTCCTAGCATCTAGCAAAGTGCCCAGCACACAGTAGGTGCTCAATAAATGCTTAATGGTTGATCAATTCTTAGGCTGAGTTGGAACGCATCTTACATGTCATTTAGGCCAATCCACTCATCTTACATATGGGGAAACTGAGGGCTATTTGACGGCAGACAGAATCATCACTGCGCCCCAGAGTAATCAGGCAGGAGGAGCGTGCAGGCCCCGCTAAGTGACCTTCAGTGCAGCCATGCAGCGTCCTCACTGCCTGCTCTGCCCCTCACTTCTTCGTGATCAATAATTAGATCCTAGGCCTGCTCCCCTCCTCCAACACAGCCCCAGGCCCCATGACCCTCCTCCATTGGAAGGGTCCTCGCACTGGAAACCCAGTTGCTCTCTGTACCCACCCTGAGAGATCTTCTCCAGCTCATTTTACAGATGAGGAAACTGAGGCAAACAGGGTGAAGTGACTTGCCCAGGGCCACACAGCTAATAAATGTCTGAGGCTGGATTTGAACTCGGGAAGATGAGTCCTCCTGACTCCAGGCCCCACGCTCTGTGCACTATGGCACCACCCGGCGGCCCCAGAACTCCAGTGTAGAGTTTGCCAATGCTTGAAAGCTTAAAAACACTCTCCCCTCAGCACCGGCTGTGAGATCAGTACTGAAGGTCCATGAGTTCCCATGTCTAGACAGCAGAGGGGAAATGACTTGTCCAAGGACAAGCAGCTAGTTAAGCCTCCAAGACCCAGGGGTCTGGGCCTCCTGACAAGATGCAGCCACCCCCTCGGGTTCCTCCTGCAGCCCCTGGTCCCCCTGGATCCCAGGGTCCAGCCTCTCTCCCCCTGCCCCCAAGCATTTCTCAGGTAGATCGGACAAGAAAGGCAGGAGGTCCCCAGGTAACGCAGGGCTCCTGTAAAAGTAGCTGTTGATAGCTATCACGTAAGGGGACACCGGGCCTCGGAGGAGCCAGGACGGACGAGCTGGGCCCTGCACTCAGAAGACACCTGCAGCAGCTCGACCCAGATACTGCCCAGGGCTTCTGGGCCCCGGCCCAGCCCTGGAGACCACAGGCTGCGGACCCCTGAGCTGAAGCCGGGGAACAAACGGGGAAGAGGCAGGAAAGCAGGGCCTTGAAGGGGGCCTCGGGGGATGGCATGAACTCCTTTCAGGATCTGACCCAACTCTCTCTGTCCCTGGGCACGCAAGGGCCTGCAGCCAGGGTTTGGGGCTGTCAGGACATTCTCTCCCTGGCCCCGCAGAGTTTCCAAAAGGCAGAGCTAGGACAGACCTCACGGGGCACCCAAACCAGCCCCAAAGGTGCCACATGGATCGCTTCTCCAAACTCTCTGACCAGCGGCTATTCAGTCTCCATGTGAATACCTCCAATGATGGGGAACTGACACTGCCTATTCCACTTTTGGACAGCTCTAATTGTTACCCATTTTTCGGCTTTCAAACCTTCATCTTCCTCTCTGCAGTGTCCACCTTGTTCTGCGCTCTAGGGCCAACAGAACAAAGCTATTAGACGACAGCTAGCCGGCCAAACGGACCCGGTTCCTTTACTGGCTCCTCATAGGACAGATCCCCAGGCCCGTCCTTCCCCATCGGGGCCCTGTCTCTTCTCCAGCTGATCATCGTCCTTTGTGAACATGCTTTGACCAGGGAAGAGAACGGGTTGTGCCTTCCTCCCTGCTGATTCTCTGCCTCGCTAGCACTCGACACCAGCAAGAATCAAGAGGAGGGGAAGGAGGCTGCCCTGCCAGTGTTAGAGGGCTCTGTGGTACGGTGGAGACCCAGAGGCAGGACAGGCCTTCCTGGGGACCCTTCCTCTGTGTGACTGTGGGGGAGTCGCCCTCTCTGAGGGGCAGGAGAACCTCGGGTCGTGCCTCCTGGGGCTCTGGGAGGAGGAGTTAAGACCCACCCCGTCCTGTGAGCTCTGACTTGGAAAGGCCCCATCAGGCCCACCGAGGCCAAGAGTCTGGTGACTGGTCCAAGGGAAAGGTCCCAACAGACCCATGAGAGGACAGCAAGAAAGGGAGACTCAACTCCCTGGCTGGTCCCTGAGATGTGAACAATGCCGGAGTTGGACGACACAGGGTCGAAGCCCCTTTCAGCCCCAACAGCCTATATTTTCTGTTCTAAGCATCTCCCAGCCCTGTCATCCCCTGTTCTAAGGCCATTCCCAGCCCTGACATTCCCTGATCTAGGGTCCCTTCTAGCCCTATCATCCCGTTTTAAGCTCCCTCCCAGCCCTGCCATCCCCTGTTCTCAGGCCCCTCCCAGCTCTGCCATCCCCTGTTCTCAGGCCCCTCCCAGCCCTGCCATCCCCTGTTCTCAGGCCCCTCCCAGC